CAAAATGGGCGCCGGAAATAGTAGCAGGCAGACCCCCCCCCCCCCCCGGTACGATTTCGAGGGGGTCCTCATCCATCGCAGGAAGACAAGGATCTAGAAAGGGGGGAGTCGGTCAGCCCACAACTGGGCTTCGGTGTTGCTCCGGAAACGCATCGGACAGCCAAAAATGGTCTGTCTTGCTCTTCTGTTCCGGCCTCGGCTTTGGCCTCGGCCTTCGCCTCGGCCTCTGAGCGGCAGAAGGCCTCGTCACGTCTTGAGGCTTGCCTTCTGCAACCTTTAAGGGGTTCTTCGGGCTGAGGGTTGAGAACGGTTTCTTTTCACAACTCAAATCCTCGATTCAGTTTCAAGTGTTTTGCATTCAGCCGCTGCAGCCCTGGACACCGGAACGCCATCGGAGCCCGGACCATCGGAGCCCGGAGACTGAGGGCGTCTGCTTCGCTTGGGATGCAACCCGATGTGCTCGCAACAAGGATCCCGGGTCTCCTAAAACCGGTCGCCTCCAGGGCGTCCAGTCTCCGGCTAAGTGCCTCGATGTCCTGCCCACAAGGCACTCCGATCAATTGCTGCTGCAGTGGACCGCAGGCCTCAAACATGTGCAGAAGGCAGCTTCAGCCTGACTGCTACCGCACTTCGCACATCCAGGCCTCCCGAACTCGCCAGTTGGCTTCAGGGTTCGACGCCTCCGAGCACGCCATCGGGGCTGAGAGAAGGAGCATCTGCTGTTCGTGGCCAGGAGCCCCGAAGCCCCGGACACCTGGCGCTCTTGGAGCAGCTCGATCTCGCGGCTGAGGCGGGCAACCTCCAGGCCGCTCAGGGTCGAAGCTGAAGGAAGAGCTTCGGCTCTGTACGGAGGTACAGGATTGGTGGAGACAGCTTCTTGGGCTTGCCACCTCGTGCGTCTAGTGCATGCACGTTCAGGTTTCCTTTCCTGGTGTTTTGCTGCTGCCGTCAGCTCAAGAGATCTCCAGAAATCAGGCCACAGGTTGATGGTTAACTATGTGAATCCGCTCTTGCGGGGACCCAAGATGAGGTTTCGAACCATCTGGTGTGACGAAAGCATCAGCATGGTTTTGAGATTTCGGATGTCGCGGGTACTGGCGGCAGGCTTGGTGCAACGGCGGAAAGACACTCCATCTTCGTTCCGAAACCCTTCCTAAACCCGGGCTCTTAACATTCAAGCGCCAGCCCAAAGCCCACAATCCTGAACCTCTAATCAATACCTCGGACAAGAAAGATCGGACAACCCAAGGGCACAAAACTGGATGGAAGAGAGATTCTGTTTGTTTCCAAAAGACTTTGAAGATGTGGTCAGTGTTAAAGTACCTACGATGCAAAGCCGAAACAGCGAAACTTTGCCTGGCGGTCCATAGTGTATGTGACGCGGATAAGCTGTTCCTGCCGCATGCAGCTGGCAGTGGGCAGTGCTTACGGATCTTACGGCTCTTGGCTCAGGCGTGAGCTGTTCGTGCACTTCGCACTTGGCAGTGCTTGCAACCTTAGACCGACCGGCAGCTCCCGTTGGCTGTTGATCTCACGCTCCATGTCCAGCATCGTGGCCATGTTGCGCATCTGGCTGCCTGGACAACAGAGATCTGCGAATCTGAACGCCTACACACGAGTTCTGGCTGTCTTACTCCTCATTTGCATTGATGTAAGCCACTGCACGGTCGTGCAAGCTCGCTCGACCACTGGAATCAAACCCCAGCTTGCAAGCCCTTTGTCCGGACCTACATTTTTTGGAATTTGTTCACACAGGCTGATCGGCGGAACCCATCCCAGCCCTGAATCCCTGGCCCGGCAGACTGAAATCGCCAACCACGGCCTGCAACGAGTGTGGTCTGCTCAAACGGCATCACCTTGCACATTGCAGCACATCACGCAAATGACTCTATCTTGGGAACTTGGGAGCTTTAGGAGCCAGCCTCTGTGCGGAGTAGCACCAAGAAACTGCATGTGGAGCCACGGTCGGAAAATACAGCCATGACGGCTGAAGAACTCTAGAGCCAAGGCGCCGAAATTTCTGACTTGACCAGCTCGCCGTGGCTTTCACTCTTTCCAGCCATTGCGTGGAGAGTTTCGGCGGGAGAAAGGAAACCCTCGATCTCCCGAGAGACTTATCATGGAGCAACCTCCAGGAACTACGAGTACTGTGTTGATGCGGAAGTTGCTCCACACCCCCGTTTTCCTGCCTCCTGGTAACGCGCTATCCGGAAACCCACATGCTTCAGCGGAACAAAAACCACCAATTTTGTTCATCGGCTCATCGGGCGACTCGCCCTAAGAAGCTCATATGGCCGAGGCGGGTTAATCATGCAGTCAACTTTGTATCGGAAGGGCGTTTGAGGTCCTTGGGAGCTGACTTGAAGCAACAGAACAAAATTGCAACCGGACCGCGAAGCCCCCTCGCATGACATACCGTTGAATTGCAAGAAACACGGCACTAGAAGTGTTGAAAACCTTAATCTGGCAATTCCTCAGATTGTCAAGACCTCGACGGGTCATCACTTCGCACTGTTTTCACGACCAGGCAATGCGAATTCTTCATGTCCTTCCTGAGGCCTGACACCTAAGAGACACCTTGCGCACACTTTACTGGGCCCGATGCGCAAGAGATTCTCAGCAACAAAGAGCACTTCTTCTGCCACAACCTACTGTCAAGTTGTAAGCTTCTCAGCAATCCAACTGGCGCCTTTCAGAAAGATCGATCGCCAGGATGCTGATTTTTCAGCGGCCTACATTGCAACACACATCCTCAGGCTGCCCATACCAAATCCGGCGAAATTTGTTCACGAGAGCCTGCTGGGAAAGTGACTCAGGATGTAAGTGTTCTAGCATAATTGGCTGATGCTTTCTTGGTGACCTCGGGTTGGCTCAGGTTCTGATCTACAAACTACGACTTAAGACTATGCGCTTGGGAGCCTTTCTAGCTACAGGTTTCAGGGGCTCAGGGGCGAACGGAAACTCGAAATTGAAGTACAACATGTCCGCATCCTCAAAGCTCAACATCCACACACCTACACCCGGAAAAGCCTCAATCATGTCAATCGAGTCTGCCTAGACTCCCTAGTCCTAGACATTCTTGCTCTCAGACGAATATTATGAAGTCCATTTCCTACGAAAAGCATCAAAGCTTCACAAGCTCCCCGAAATTCCGTATCTAAAACCCACGCCTCAATAAACCACAAGACTCTGAACTCCTTAAGCTCTTCAACTCCGGCAGCAGCGCTCCAGGCATCCATCCCCAACCTCCCGATTTTGAAGCCCCAAAAACCAAATGCACAAGCCTCTCTGCAAGCGCGGCCTGCCTCCTCCCGACTGACCCCTTCCCAGAGATCCTGTTTCTTCGTGCCTCCGGGTGCAATCAAGGCAGGCTTGAGGGCTTGGGCTTAGGATTCGGCTGCAAGCTTTTCGGCTTCGTGTAGCTCTTGGCGCGGCACTACTGCGGGAGCAAAATGCTCTTGGAAACTTGGACCTTTGAAGGTATCGTCTGTGTAGCACCCAGATGTATGATGATCATGCTTGTTTGGCTCAGATGTAAATACCCCACCGAGTGTCAGGCAGAAAGGAGACAGCGTCCACGGTTGGTATGTACAACCTAACCATGAGGTCATCAGGGCTCACGGGTCGTCCGCACCTTCGCACTCGCGGCGGGCGGCCTTCTCCACAGCCACCACACAGCGAAGCCATAGATCTGCGAAGGGAAAAAAGTGCATGAACAACTGACAAAAACAATGGAAAAACGCCCGGGTGGCCACCCAGCCGTTGAAACCTCGACAGAGCCTCGGCAATCAGCCTGGCCTTGCTCCTTCCCTTCGGCATGCGCCTCGCATGGCGTCCGCTGGTCCTCACAGCGCTGTCCGGCCCGGAAGGGGCTTTCGGCGAGTGTGTTGACATGGGCAGAGTCTCAAGGGTGCGCAGCTTTTCGACTCTGACGTTTCGGGCTTCACAATTGTTCGACAGGGCTTCAGACGGCAGAGCACGTGCAGCAACAACACCTCAAACCGATCTTTATCCGACATCGACAACGGCACGCATCTGCAACAGTTTTCGGATCGCTGTGGCCGAAACGTTCAGGTTTGCAAGGCTCTGTGCGAATGCAGGCTCTCAGGCTAGGCTTCGTTCATGTCGATCGTTCTGGGTGTTGTGTAGCCAGCTTGCCTCTCTCGGTTCACACTGACTAAAGCCCACGAAAAATCGTGCTCACATAATCCTCAAGCAACATCCTGAGAAATGGCACACAAGCCGCAGGTCTGAAACCCCCAATCAAGGTGTTGAAACGTCAATCTATGAAAGATAAGGAAAATCGTGTAAAGAATCTTATTCAAATCCAGCCTATAGGCACGAAGAGAACTCGCACCTAGCCCACATGTAATTCTTAGCAGTGCTGCCCTTGCTACTCGCATAGTGGTCGTCGATGTGGTCGTCGTCGTCGTCCTCCTCCTCCTCCTCCTCGTCCTCGTCGTCATCCTCGTCCTCGTCGTCGTCGTCGTCGCGTCGTCGCGTCGTTGCCATCGTGAGAACCATCTTCATCCTCAAAAAACATCCTGAAAATTATCTTGTTCCTCTCAATTATTAATATCGTCGTCGTCCACAGCAGCAACAACACCGTCATCATCAACATCATCAACATCATCATCATCATCATCGGCGTCATCGTCATCGCCATCGTCGTTGATATCACTATGACATCCCTAGGCCCTAGTCTCTTCGCCTTTAACTTGTCTCCTGAATCAGCTCGTTTGACATTCGGTGTAAACATGGACTGGCCTGCACCGTTGCCTTCATGATCCGGGCATGCAGCAGGCGCGGTGTCGAACGCGGTGCACGGAACGGTGCCTTCCAAGATGGAGCTGACTCAGGCTCTGGGGCTTTTGGGGTTGAATCAGTGCCTTAGGATTTGGAGTGCTTGGGGCTTCGAGGCTTGCTGTGCCATAGCATCAGCTTGGCCGAAAAATTCGAGAAGTATTCGGCCGGCACTTTGGAGGCTAAGCAGCTTTTGAAGAGAAAAGGTTACTCTGCTTGGGAGTTGGCACACCGTGTAGCATCATGGGATACAGTATCAGCTTTCAGGAGCTTTGGAGTGCGTGTCCCAAGTTCTAAGGATGCGCAGTTGGGATGCAGATCAGATGCATGGACGCAGCGGAACTTCCAACTGAGCATACTTCCCACCCACACCGACTCCGAGACGTTTTTCACTATTTCGTCACTAATGAACTGATACTGGGTCGAATCCGAATTGGTATCGGAATCGCTGACTCGGCACTGCCCCAGTCAGTTCAGAAATCACAACTCTGACTAAGCCCACTGCAGCACAAGGAACAATCACTGGATCGAAGGCAGCAACCGGAGCCCCCACGACATGCTGGGCACCTTCGGGTCATTGGTGACGCCGGCTTGCTCCTGGTCGGCTTCCCTCTTAGCAACCAACCCAAAAACAAGGCTTGCCACCCTGACACATGCCGACTTGGGCAGAAAGCGATGCAACTACATGTGACAAAAGCGTGCTAACCGAATCATGTGTTCATCATGTCATCATCTCGCTACAGAGCTTTAGTACCGGCATCTGCGGCCGCAAGCCATCATGTGTTGGATCCCTGCACCAGCTGGACACTCAACACGACTCTTGTCCATCATTGCCTGCATGGTTGGACATGGAGGATGCTGTTGCACATTTCCTGACCTCCACGCGACATGTCGTGTCCCAGTGGCACGAAAACTCAATACTCAAAGACTTCGCCTGGACACTCACGCAAGCTGCACCAAGGGCAACATCTACGAATGCTTCTATGTGCCAGGCCGCAGCTGTCAAATCCTCCGAGACTGCCAGAAATGAATCTTTGGGTCTGGGCCTCGCGGTTTGTGAAGGTCTGCTGACTCCCAACAGACTCACTCAGCTCCAGGAGAATCTTGTGCCGCTCCAGACGGAACTCACCACCTTGAGCCATGCCGGTCGGTTCTTAGAGCTTGAGACTTGCTGCACAGGAGCCTTCGGATTTTCATGAAGCGTGTGAGGGTATAGCAGTATGACAATTATATTGACAGTGTGGTGTTTCGGGGTTCGGGATGATCGGGTCTCAGAAGCTGCTGGATGTCCCTTCCAACCACCACCAATCCTGTTTTCTGCCGTCGATTCCCAGCAACATCAGGAAGAGTAGAAGTGCTACCACATCAGGGCAAAAATAGGAGATTCCTGGGTTCGAGACTCGAGACCGCACAAGAATCCCAAAAGTGCGACACAGTCGAAAGCTCTTGAGCTTGGTTCTAATCGCGCAAGCACACAAGCACACAAGCGAGCAGACACACACACACACACACACACCCTCACACTCACGCTCACATCGGATCGTACTCCAACATGCGCTTGTCAATGGCAAGGGGTTGGGGTTGGCACCAGGTTTGCGGGAGATGGACTTGAGTTCTTCCAAACTTCAACAAGAGAGCTCAATCCCACTCTCACGCACCTTGCTTGAACCAATTCTGAAGTCCATCTGCCGGAGTCGCCTTACAAGAATCAAGGACTCACTTCTCCGTGCAGCGAGATGTTTCTTGTAGAGCCGGGCAATTGCATGGAGTGTCTACAGCTGAATGACTGCGCATGAGTTATTATCACATGTCAGCACTTCGCAACGCCAAAATCCCAAACAGTCGTCCACTCTGGAACCTGAGGTACCTAGCCCGCAAAGTCCATGTCCGAAGACCTTGTACGCTAAGGCTGCGAACCATAAATCCGGGATTTTCATCACTTTGATGCGACGCCTCCAGTCGCTGCCCCTCCTCATCCAGGAGGATGGCGCTACCACGGGCGAAGTGCAACTGGCCCTCACGCCAGACCTTTGCAGGGCTCAAGCCCTGAGCAAGCCTGTTTTGTCGGGTTTGGACTGGTCTTCGTTCACGGACCGGCCTGCTTCAGAAACACACAGGACACGCGCGGATCTAGACAAAGCAAAGGCTTGAACCAGCCAACACCTTCAATCACGAAGAAACTCTCCAGAAACTCCAGTAAACCCGAGCAACTTCATCCTTAGCCAAAGTGCCTGTTCAGGCCCGTAGCTTTGAAACTTCGAGCAAAAACGCACACCACAGCATGTAGAAAACCTACACTTAGCAGGGAATATATAGATTGGAGAAGACCTAACACGCAAGCAGAGAAAGCCCCGCATTCTAAAAGCAAGGTCCAAAGAGGACAATGATTACTACGGCCTTAGAATCGAATCTGAACTTGACATTGAATTCTGTGCCACAGCAAAGAGCAGAAGAGCTTTACAAGTGTTGAAGCTTGAACAAACATACCATACAGTACGGAAAGTCCGAAGGACATGGCTGCAACAGGTTCTGGGGTCGTTCTGCTGATCACGTGGAATGCCATGAAACCGGCTTCTTCCGTGCGATCTGTGCCGTGAAGAGCACCGTCACTGCTTCAGACCGCCTCAGCCCAAAGAAACTGAACTTGATCACTTCCGCAGTGAATCGCGAAGGCATGAATTTATTTATACCTCCATACAAGTTGCACAAGTTCGAGCAAGTCTATGAAAATGTCTGCCAAGCTGCGTGTCAACCATCCTGTCAGCGACAACATGATGAACAACACAACTTGGAGTGTGTCGCTTCTTCTTCTGGACACAAAAATTCAAGCTTAGGAAAGCAAGTGTAAGTCCAAACATTCACTTTCACTGAAACCACGGTGGTCTGGCCTGGTACGCTTTTCGAAGAAGCAAAACACGGGGGCATGAATCGCTTCAACCTAAAATTGCGGCAGCACTTTGCATAGACCACTCTTTCTTATTCAAAAGCGCAACTGAGTTTATCCACAGACGTGCAGCATTTTTCTTGTCAGTCGAACGATGCCAATCTTACAAAGTCTCATTTGCTGCACCCGTTGACCAAAATGAGCAGACGATGTTTGCAAAGAAAACCATACAATTTTCATGCCGCAAACGTGCCAATAAGCACTGAAAATGCAAGCCTCAACGTCAAAAAGAAAACATCATCAACGTGAACACGTCCAACCCTCCATGCATCTAGAATCGACACAAGCGAGAAGCAAAATCTACAGAGTCGGGTTTGGCGGTGAATGCTTGACAAAAAAACAAAATTAGCAGAAAAAGATACAATTTCGAATCTCACTAACACCTACCAAAACAAGCACGTAAATCTTTGAAACCAAAAACTATTGCTGGAAAATGTTTGCTAGGAATTGGAACAAACGAACGTAACACGCATGATCTGCTTCTTTCTTCTCGAAAAGCCATGTTGTAAGGAACCTTTGCCACAATCTGTCTTGCTCTTCAAACGGTAATCCCTTGAGAATTCTAATGAAGTATGAAACAAACGCAAATCGCATGCAACTTCCATCCGTAGAACGTTTCACAAACCGAAAAAGACCGAACGACAGTCC